TCCCCTGGATATGTCAATTATTAGTTTAAATTTACATAGACTTTATGTAAGGGAAATGTGTGTAATCTTTGGGGGGGGCGGTACTGGGGATTGAACCCAGAGGTGCTTTACCACCAAGCACATTCTCAGCCCTTTTTATTTTTTATTTTGAGACAGGGTTTCACTCAGTTGCTTGGAGCCTCCCTACGTTGCTAAGGCCTTGAACTTATCATCCTCCTGTCTCAGCCTCCTGAGTAGCATCTCAAAGTAAACTCGTGTTTGTAGGTAAAGGCTTATAGAAGTGGCTCCACTAGAGTAGAACTATAAGCTGGACGGGTTTATGATTGTTCTGGCACCATCTTCTGGCGTAGACAGGTCTAATCTGGGATGCTCAAGTTACTCTGGAATTGACTGAATGTTTTTCCAGGATAATGGATCAAAGAAAGGCCATTGACACCTCACTGCTCCCCTGCTCCCTGTCTTTCCCCTAGGAGTGAAGTGCAGCCAGTGGTCTGAGGAGGCTTCAATGGTGTTTCGAAATCATGTGGAGAAGAAACCTCTGGTGGCACTGGTGCAGACGGTTATTGAACATGCTAACCCCTGGGACCGGAAAGTAGTGGTCTATCTAGTGGACACATCGCTGCCAGACACTGATACCTGGATTCATGATTTTATGTCTCAATATCTGGTAGAGCTTTCAAGAGTTAATTAATCACTGCTTCTGAGACCTTGATGACTAATTCAGATTTTTTTTAGCAATAACAAAATGTAGTAGGCTTTAAAAACATATTTCTGCTACATGGCTCTGACTGTTGTGGGGGATTGAAACAAAAATGCTTATGTTTGATGAAAGATATTTAACAAGTTTTGTTTTAACAGAGTTGACTTTTCAAAGAAAATTGCACTTGAATTATTACTATAATATTAGAATAAAAATGTTTATCAATATAAAAACTGACTACCTTGTAATTTCTAGGCTTTATGATCATAAGGTGAAAGTTTCCTTTTCTGTTCGTGTCTTCTTGCAATGCTGAATTCCTCTCCAGTTAAACGGAATTTTATGACTTGACCGTACCCTGATATGGTGGTGTATCCCAAAGCATGTGAAGATTTGTCCTGACTCATTAGCATATCAGCACTGTCACAGACCAGGCAAACTAGCACACACCCTTGACTCCAGACCTTCAGTGGCTTCTCATTGTCCACAGAGTCCAGACCCAAGGACAGGCCTTCCACAGCCCCTGCCCAGACTTGTCCACACATCCTGCTTCAGCCACATTGAATCTTTATCTGGTCCCTGAACCTCATGCATTTTCATCCAGGACTGCTGACGTTCTATAGCAAGACTCGCTACGCTCAAACTGTGTTTGTTTATTCCCACAACCTGCAGCACATTCTCCCCATCTGTTTTCCATGCTTGATCCCCACAGCTGACCACAAGCCCTCCCTGGTGCCACTTTCTACTCCATAGTACTCTCTTGGTCCCATATCTCAGTGCACTTCAGGGTACACAACTAGTTATCTGTACCCACCACCTCAGGGAGGGGAGGGACAGGCTTAGTCATCTCTTTATCCAGCAGTTCTCTGTAAAGGTTTGACAGCTGGTCTGGCTGGTGAGAAGATGAATCTTGATTTCTATTGTCAGATGGTTTGCTTGCTGTCTATACTCCCACCATTGTTGCTTTCTGGCTAATAATGTGACATCACTGGATGTGGAGTTAGGAAGGGAGGCACCTATGTGGCTCTTATGGCCCTAGATAATGGACTCCAGCACACACTGTGTCATTGACAATGGACAGAATGGCATCTTCCCTAGTCAGGCACTTGTTATATGCTTGCTAACTGATGAGTAGATACAGGGGCTTTAACCCTGATGTAAAGATGAAGTGGAGAGGCCCTGGACTGAGTGGAGCAATGGAGACTGCTAAGGTAGCTCAGTGCCATTGCGCTTGCCTAGCATGCAGGAAGCCCTGGGGTCCAAAACCCAGCACCAGAAGAAAAAAAAAAAATGTGATGGGAATGAAGGAAAAAAATATTGAAATTTAATTTAGTTAGCATAGGTAAGAAGACAAGAAAAAGTGAAGTCAGATCTTAAGGACTAGGGTGATGATCCTTACCCAGTTTGAATGGAAGATTAATATTTTGGTTTTCCACATACTGAATTTAAACCAACAGATCTCTGTGTGAAGATACATACAAACTATTAGAAATATGGGGTGAACTTAAGGGGAGAAAACCAGGCTGTAGATGACCACTCTTAAAGTCATTGGTGTTTACTCGAGAAAGTTTTTACTTGAGAAAACAAAACAAAACAAAAAAAGTAGAGACAAGATAACAGTAGAAATTATCTCTAGCTTTAAAAAAAATTTAATATTTACAATTAAAGTGGTTCAAAATTCAAGAGTATTATGCCAATTGATTAAAATATTTATGATGAAATTTTAAAATTCTGATGTTTAAGTGAAATAAAATAGTGTGGATTTTTTTATAATGGTCTCTTTTCCTACCCCCCCCCAAAAAAAAGGAAAAAATTATCAAATGTCTACAAGTAAGGAAGAAGTGGTTTCTACTTCACCGACTTTAGAAAATGTTTCCATTTTTAAATCAATTAGTTGTTGATGTAAGTGTAAAATTAATCTGGTGCTAGGACAGTTTGACAAATTACTTGGCCTCTCCCTCATACCATATTCCTAAGTCAGTTCCAGGTGGATTGAAAACCTAAACAGTGAAAGCTAAGACAGAAAAATACCTTCAAAATTCGGGACTAGGAAAGAATTCTTAAACGGGACACACAAAGTACTACCAATAAGGAAAACAGATTGATATATCGTATTAAAACTAAGAGCACCTTTCCTGAAAAGACATTGTTAAGAAGGTGAGATAGCAAAGCAGAGTAGAGGAATATCCCCCCCTGAGAAGTATATTGAATGTTCAATACAACTATTCAGAAGAAAAATGGGCAATACATTTGAACAAATACCTCACAAAGGAGGAAATCCAACTGACCATATAAAAAGGCCAATATAAAAGGGGTCAACCCATTAGAACACGGGAAAGGCTAGCTGGAACCTCAACTAGATACCATTACTCATGGACCAGAATGACTGTTTCAGTTTCCTCAGTGGTATGGAAGACGTAAAACTGCTGTGTAACACAGTAATACCTTTGGAAGAGTTCAGGCTTCTCTCTTCTAAAGTTAAGGTTGGTCATACTCTGCAACCCTGTACTTCAAACAGCAGTGTGTGTGCTGGTGCAGAATAGATTGGCAAAAAACGTTACAGTAACACTTTTCATAGCAGTTACAGGACTATGTTCGTTAATAGTAAAATGGATTTTTTTTAAGAGAGCGAGACAATTTTTTAATATTTATTTTTTAGTTTTCGGTGGACACAACTTTATTTTTATGTGGTGCTGAGGATCGAACCCAGCGCCCTGCGCATGCCAGACAAGCACGCTACCACTTGAGCCACATTCCTAGTCCAATAGTAAAATGGATTTTTTTCAACTAATGATATATTCATATGATGGAAAACTCCACGGCAATAAGAAAGAACAAATTACAGGTACATGAAACATCATGGATTTATCTCACAGAGTTGAGCAAATAGAGACAAATTGTAGAGGCTCAGGAAATCAGGATAGATTACCCTAAGGGTCAAGAAGTTGAGCATCTTTGGGAGGGAGCTAAGACCAAGAAGCAACAGGCTGGTTTCTGGGCTTCTGACATGTCCTGACTGAGGACTGGTTTGCACAAATATTCATGCCTTTAAAAGTCAGGAAATAGCCAGGCCAGATGGTGCACATCTGTAATCCCAGCAACTCAGGAGGCTGAGGCAGGAAGATCAAAAGTTCAAGGCCAGCCTCAGCAATTTAGGAGACCCTGTCTGGAAAAATCAAAAGGTGTGAGGGTGTAGATCAGTGGTAGAGTGTCACTTGGTCAATCCCCAGTATTAAGAAAGAGGAGAGAATAGAAAAGAAAGATCAGGGAGCACATTTATGTTGTGTGCTCCTATATGTCTGTGAGACCACAACAAAAATGTTTAAATAATCTGAAATATTAAATCACTGCTTTATTTTAAAATATATGGCACATACGCCTTGAAAAGAGTCTTACACCTGTGAGAGTTTTATAATATAGAAATACATCTTTGTGAAACTATTTTAAAATGTTTTTTAAAGTGTTTCTCTCATTAGTAATCTATATACCAGGATTAAAGAGCTTATTTTATTAGGGTTTCCTCCTTCAAAAACTTTTCCACAATAATCCAAACGGAGATGTGTCCCCACATCCCTACAAATTCCTTTGTATGAGCAATTTGTTTTATTATAATACTTTAAATTTCTGTTTGGGTTTAGGTGGTGTGTTCTGGAAAACACAGCCTTTTGAGAAAGTGAGATTTTTTGTGGTGGTTATTTTAAGACGTTCGTTTGGACACTCCATTCTATCTCAGTAGAGTGGAGAGAATGCATTCGATTCTGTGTTGGAATTACACGTTCACCAAATGATAGTTATTAAAGCCTGGGCTCCTGCCAGACCTAGCTGGGCTGCTAAGATGGGATGGATCGCTACTTCAATGCAAGGAGAAGGTGCAGCAGCCGATGGGCTGGCCTTGCTCCTTCCACTGTTGAGGACCTCTTAAAAATTCTAGACCCCGAGGGAATTAAAAATCTGCCCACCTTTTTCCAAACAACTCTACATCGCTTAAACTTCCTGGGGTAAGTGGGAAAGGGCAGATAACACATCCCCTGGGCTGCGGAGCCGGCTTCCAAGCCTGGTTTTTTTTTGTTTTTTTTTTTGCCCTGAGCTCCCACCCAGCGGGTGTCGTTCTCGGCCGGGGACCTTGCGCTGAGCTCGGGCGACCCCGAGTTGGGGGTGGGGAGGGCGGCGGGCGGGGCGGGGCACGGTGACAGCGCGGAGCCGGGCCCGCCCCTGGCTCCCACCCCCTGGAACCCTCAGCGCCCGCCCGCCCCAGCTCGTCCAGCCCCGCGCTCCGCTCGCCCGCCTGCCGCCCGCGCTCGCCCCGCCGCCGCCCGCGCCCGCGCCGTCCTCTCCGCTCCGCGTCCCGGTAAGCCCCCCACCCTCCTAGGGTCCCTCTCGTGCTTGCGGGGCTCCCTGCCCCCGCGCCGGGGCCCCAGCCATATCTGGGCAAAATATTCAGCTGTCGCCGCCGCGGCCAAGAGGGACTGAGCGTGGCTCTCTCTATAAATAGCTGCCTCCTCGGATTGCCTTCGGGACTGGGGAGCCCGGGTGTCGGGGTCCGGCGCCCCGCGCTCCGCTCCCCGGCGCTCCGCTCCCCGCCGCCTGGCGCGCATGGCCCTGGCCAGGGCGCCCGCCCTCTGAGCCGCGTCTGTAAACGCCAGAAAGAGCAGCGCCGGGGCCGGGGTCCTGGTGGAACGGACTCCCCGCCGCCGCTGGTCTCCTGTGCTGCCGGCCTGAGCGCCCGCGGGGCGCTCTGCTGGGTGCAGGTGCCCGCCGAGCCGGGCCCCGGGGCGCGGCCTCCTCCACCCGCGGAGAGTCTGGGGGCGGGAGTGGGAGCACAAGTCTCCGGGGACGCGGATCCCGGGTTCGCGCTGAGCCGGCCTGTGGCAGGAAAAGTTTCCCAAACTGCGGGAGATGGCAAGGTTTAAAGCAGCACCACACGCGCTTTACGCAGCCGGGCGGAGCGGGAATCAGCCTGGAGACAGGAGCCCCCTCGCTACGGTCAGCTCATGGAGTGACATGGGTAGGGTCCTACCCTTCTCTGGACCTCGCTTTCCGGGTTTGCAGGGAGAGGTTAGGTCCCCGCAATGGAGCTAGGAGCGCGGCCGGTGAGAGCGGCGGGGCGGGTTCGTGACCGCCTGCGCTCCCACCACCTGTTCACCAGCTCCAGGCCTGGGACACGCTGGGCACAGCCGCCCACATCAGGAGGGGTTGCAGAACTCAGAGACTGGTGGATCCCCGAATCGGGTGTATTCTGGAACCCACTAGAGCCCTCCAATACCCTGTGTCATACACTCCGGGGAAGTGCACCCCGGGGTGCTTACTCTCCGCTGGGTAGCCGTCGCCTTGCAAAACAGCAAGGGACCCATACAGCTTTAGACCCAATGAACTGGGCAGGGCCAAGGGTTCCAGTCCAGAGCTCCCTGGCCTCAGTTTCCCCGTCTGTAAAACACCTATGACATGCCCTCCGAGCTGCACAGCTCCCTCCTCTTGCCCACCCACCACTTCCGTTATCGACCCTCTTTGAAGTGCTCATCTTTGCCCGCTCAGACTCTTGAAAAACCACTTGGCCTAAGCTATTAGGTATCCACATCACACAGCCCGCCCCTGAACCCAGGTGCTAAGACCTCAGAGCACCCCGAGGGCTCCATCTTTCTCCCCAGGTGACAGCCATCTTGTCCCCGAAGCGCCTCAGAGCCCCCTGCTCAAGGTCATGCTGCTGAACAGCAGGTCTGTAGTCTCCGCCTGTTTTTCCCCATCTCTTTCTGACCCTTCCCGCTGTGCAAGCAGGTCTTGGGACCCTCTGAGCACCTAGTCCATGCCCCTCTTTTGTGATCTGCTACTGAACAGGACTTTCCTTTGCTAGAGCAATGGTGCTGTCACCCTAGAAGGCTCAGTTTTGTTCCTAATGCCTCTATTACATTTTCTCTATAGCCATCTCAAAGCCTCAGAGGTAAAATAATTAAGGGGAAATAGAGCCATATAGCAAGGTTCTCATCATTTCAAGCTGTACAATAAACAGGCAGATGAAAAACAAGGAGCACCATCCCTTTAGGGTGTTCTCTCTGGTGAGCTAGTCTTTTAAACCCACGTTTTCCTCAGTCATTGTCCCCTGGGTTCGTAGCAGCCTAAGTGGAAAGCCAGAGTCCTCTAAAAATAGCCTCCGCCCCATCTTATCAGGGTCTCACACCTTTTAGCTACTCTAGGGTAGGGTGGTTTCCTGCAGCTCAGCAAAATGTGAAAACAGGGAGCAGGTAGTGGCAGCTGTGAGTATCAAGGGTGGTCTGGCCTGGGGATCAGAATCCCTGGCTCCAGCCCCAGCTCTGCTGCCCACCCAGAGTGACCTTGAGCAATGAGGAGTGGCCAAAATGGTCTCTAGTGGAGGGAATCAAGAGGGCTCAGACTCTCATTTGGAAGACTTTCTAGCATGAGGAACTTAAAGTGCCAGGCATGAAATCTGAGGCATTCCCTTGTGAGGAGAGGTTGGGAAAGGAGCAGGAGAAAGTGGCTTCCCAAGACCTCAAGAAAGAGAGAAGTGGACAATAACATTTGTTTCAGAGAGAGAGAGGGTGGCGAGAGCTAGGGAGGGAATATTGGATTTGACAGAGGGCCTGGGTGAATTTCACCAGGCATTGCAGAGGATTAAAAAACACGATCTACCAGTGACCCTTGTCCAAGCCTCAGTTTCCTGCTCCTAACAATGGGGATAAGAACTTCATCCATTTCCTCCAGGTTTGCTGTGGGGATTGAGAAGTTTCTGGGAAAGCACTCAGTGGAGAGTTGGGCACCTCTTGATGGTATTATTATTGTTAGTGAGGGACAGAGGTGGGAGCTGAAGTGGAATTAATTTCCAGTTCTTTTTAAAAGCTTAAATGTTGGAATAGGTGGCATATACCTGTAATCTCAGCAGCTCAGGAGGCTGAGGCAGGAGGATCTTTATTTCAAAGCCAGCCTCAGCAACTTAATGTGGCCCTGAGTAACTCAGCAAGACCCTGTCTCTAAATAAAATATAAGAAAGGCTGGAGATGTGGCTCAGTGGCTAAGCACTCTAGTGCCAAAAAAAAAAAAAGCTTAGATAAGGAAGGGAAAGGTGGTAGGAGCCAGGGACAGAGCACAGAGGGAGGAAGAGTGTGACGGAGGAGAAGAACACAGGAGAGGGAAAGGCAATTATAGAAGAACCTAAGGGGTCAGAACTGAGGATCTTCCTTAATGACTTGCTGAGTGTCACAGATCCCACAGGTGCCCTTCATCCTCTGTAACCAGGTTGAGCAAAAAAGGGTAAAAGAAAGCAGATTCTGGCTGGAGGCCCCTGTGTCCCCTGGCAGATTTCAGTATCTGCAAAGGAGCTGGGTGATGGGCCATGAAGGGTGGCTTGACCTGCCCAGGGGCCTCCTGACCTTGGCTTGCTTATTTCTGAAATGACATCATCTATCAATGACTCCTACTGAGCCCAGTCATAATGGCCTTTTCCAGTCAATGTTTTGATTTTTCAGTCTTACTAATGGACCAGCCAGGCTGCCAACATTTCTAAAGATGCCTGCTCACTTTCCCTTAAAGCCAGAACACCAGATAGATCAATTATTTGGCTGCTAAGAGCCATTATCAGCTGAAAGCCACAGGCCTTCTACTATGGAGCAATGTGAGTTAGCACAGTTCCGGGGTCACTTCCTCCCTTTTCTTTTTTGGTTGATCGTGGTAGGACATGATTTGATTCTCTTTGCTCGTAATGATAATGAAAGAGTGAGCTCACTGGAGTCAACCTAGGACAAAGTCTGGACGGTTTTTTTTGGTATTAGGAGGTGCTAGATCCTTCTCTGATCTGAAAAAATAAACAAATTCAAGCATTGTTTCCATTTCTCCTTCTCTTATGTCTTTTTGCTTTTTATAAACGAGCTTTGTGGAAGAGCTGGACCTTACCTGGCCTGGGGAGAAAAGAGGGAGGCAGAGGGAGACGGACCCCACCCCAGTGTACCTGTCTCATTTTATCTGCCCAGGGTCCCCAGCCCCAGCCACCCCTCGCTCTGGGGTCAGTAGGATGGTGCCCCCAGGCTGGTCCTGGAGATGACTGTGGTGGGCGGAAGGTTATGACCACCAGATGTTTTGCCCAGAGGAAGCGTGGGGGAGCAGATATGTCTCTTGGCCTTGGTCAGCCTTCTTCATGGACTGGCTTTCTGCCTCTCCCTTCAAAGCTGGTGCCACTCATAGCCCTCCTCTCCTCCCAGCCCACACCCTCTCACGATCTCATCCACTCCCATGACTCCGACCACCCTGTGATCCCGAGTTCTGTGTCGGCCTGGACCTCTGTCCTCAGCTGCAGGCATCTGTAACTCCTGCCAGTTGGACAAAAGCAATAGGATGTCCCAAAGGCACTTCAGTCCAGCAGGCCAGAGCCAGGCTCTTCCCCCTTCCTCTTCCTGTGTCCCCGGCTTGGTTGCCAAGGACACCGTCCACCCAGCCACCAAGCCAGAAGCCTCCCTTCCCTTCCCCACCCTTACGTAAGGCCACCCAGTCCTGTCAGTTCTATCCACCACCCCAGTTGTCAGATCTCTGTGAAGTGGAGCTATGGCCGTGTCACTTCCATTTCAAGGAGTCCCCCTTTCCTCCTACAGACCTGTTTCCTTACCATGGTCCCAAGCTACTTTTTTGAAATCACACAGATTGGGGTAGACCCTCCCCCCAATCTGTGTGCCTTCTGATCATGGCCCAAGCCCACAGTGTCTTCCTGCTTCTGCTGTCCCTTCTGCCTGGAATGCCATCATCCTTCAGAACAGAGCTCCTCGGTGCCACATCTGTGCTCCCACCGCCCTCAGCTCCAGTCACTGTGTGTTCTGACTGGGACCATCCACTGACCTGTCCATCTGTGGGGAGACTGAAACCCCCTTGAGCATGGGGTTTGTGGCTCATTTATTTCTGCCCCCCAGGGGTCTGCCTCATGGCTCAGCCCGTTGACATAGTGCAAGCCCTTTAGGGCTTAATTAATGGCTGCCTGTTGGATGAATGAAGGAGTAAAGAACAAGTAAAACCAAGCTCTGTGATCTCCACGACAGTCACTCAACACCAGCCAGCCCTTGCAGCAAGATTTCCTGTTCCAGCAGACCACCCGCTCCATGAGGGCACATGCCATCCGTTCTGCTCCCTGCCAAGTCCCCAGTCCCCAAGGGCCCCCACACAGTGATAGCTAGTGAACCAATCCATGATCTCATCTGAAACTCACAGGGAGACACAGCAGGTATAACCACCCCCTTTATGTAATTGGACAGTGAACCCCAGCAGGCATTGCTCCAGGTCATCTGGCTGGAGGGTAAATTCCAGAAAACTGAAGTGTTCTTCGGGGTTCCATCAGCTTGAGGGACGAGAGTCCTAATG